AGTAACAAGTGCCTTACTAGTAGTAACAAAAAGCTCTTAGAATTAAAATAGAATTAAATTGTTACTAATAGCTTCTTGTTACTACTAGTAAGGCACTTGTTACTAGAAGCGATGCACTAGAAGCGATGAACAAGATGGCACCCACGAACCCAAATGAACACATGCACTCGAAACAAACGGCAAAGCTCTTGTAGAACGAACTTGTGGGATACACTCGTGGACAAATTGTTGCGGGACACTCTGACACTCTTGTGGGGGAACCCGGCCTTTCTTTGGGAATTGTTTTCGCGTTGTTTCTGCTGTTTTTTTCGAGTGATTCCAGCTTCAGCTTTTGCTTCTGCTCTCGCCTTTGCTCCTGCTTCTGCTCCTGCTTCTGCTTTTGCATTTGCTCGTGCTTCTGCCTTTGCTTTCGCTTCTGCAACTGCAAAAAGTGGACAGCTTGAAATGCTGTTTTGCTTGCAGTGGACAGGCTTCAGAAGAAACTGTGCTGCTGCAACTGTTGCTGCAAGTGGCCAGCTTTGAATATTGCACTGCTTGCAGTAAAGAGCCTGTGCTGCTGGCCAGCTTGCAAATAGACGAAACCGGAAGACACCCCAAAATAACCCTAAAAACAAGAAACCGAGCCCAAAGAAACCCGAAACCAGTGAGACCCGAAGACAACCGCAAAGAAGTCTCTGTTATAGTTCCCCTCTTCCTCGCTGCTACTTCTCTTTCGTTTAGTGAGATGCCTTTTCTGCTTCCCTCGCTGTCAGCGCCATCGACCTGCCGCGAACGGCTGCGACTGCTACGACAACTAAATGAGAACCCTTCGCTGCGTCGGGAAAACATAGAACAAGATGAAGATTGAACAAGTGAGTTCAAGTCCACCTGACCCCGGAGACTTTGAGCGTTGCGAAAGAGAAAATTTTGACAATCTTTTTTTGTTTTTGGCAGACTTTTCAAAACGCTTTTGATTCTTCCAGGTGCCTGGCTATGAGATCAGGGAACTTTTGGAGGCCACCATCGGCGGCAACACTCAACGAGTCAGGAGCAGAGAAACACGGAGAAACAGAAGCATCGAAAGAAAATATAACATCGAATCAAAAGTTGACAACACAAAAACGAAGAAACTAAACGAAACAATGTTAAAAACATGTATTTTTTGTGCATTCCAGAGTTCTTTTTGGACCGGCTATCATGAACACACTTAAGGCTGCAGTGACGATGGTCTTCGTTTGGTTTCTGGCATCGCAGTTCCTTGATGTGGGTGGTGCAGTGCAATTGCACGCGCCCCCGAGCTATGAGTCCCTTGGCGCCCGAAAATCACGTCCCCGATGTTTCTAGTAGATTTGATCTAAAACAGTTCATGTGTCTTGCAAGATTCTCTCAGCTTTCAAAAGGTTTTATGGAAAGTGTCCTTTTCGCATCAATCCGGTTAGCAGCGCCATGCGGCTTGCCTCAAGGCTGCGCTGCACGCCGCGAGTGCAATACATCAGTTTGCCCGCCGGCTCCTGCCGGCTGCTGGCAGGACATCCCAAGTGGGACATGAAAATAGAACATGTACTAAAAACCAACCAAGTGCGTTTGTTTCATCCATAACCGTTTAGCAAGGCCGCCAGGCCTTACATCGTGTCAGGTGTGACATCGTCCACGGGAGATGTCTACCACCAGTACCTCTCCTTGGCCTTGACACTCCCTGGCCAACAAGTGCAGCTTGGAACTTGTTTTAAGCTAGCTACATCTAGCTACTAGCTACTTAATTCAGTGGAATAAGATGGAATGAGCTATTAGCTGCTTAAGGTACATATGGACGCAGGATAAGCTTACGCGTCTTCAAGGAAGCGCTCGCACTAATGCTTTGGTTCCTAGATCTTTTTGCAAACATAACTCGCCAAAAGATTCTGGGTGATTTTGGTGTTTAGCCTCAAAAACTTCCAGGCCATTGGCCACAAAAAACAGAATGTCCAGACTTCCATGCTTTCTGTTTGTTGTGGAGGGAAAAAGACCAACAAGTGGGCCAAGGTATATCCCCCCAAAGAAACAAAACAATGAACTCTCGAAGATGTTTGAACCAACTAGACCCATATAGATAAATGGTATGATATAGTAAAGGGAAGAAATCCTAGCAGTTAAAGTGGCAACAATGAGGCCTAAGTAGGCCTACAATGTTACCTGTCAATAAAGTCATGTACGACTTGAATCTCAAGCCGAGCCGAAAAAGCATGTTTACGGATGCTTTAAAAAAGAGATGCTTAAAGTGGTTTGGGTAATCGAGTTCCAGGCTCAAGGCCCCTCACTCCACAAGGTGATTTTAGTAGTCGACACATTTTGATTCATGAAATTGATTCTGTTTAATTACTTCCTTTTAGGCTTTTGCTTTGTTTCTTCCTTTTCTTTCATCTAAGTCTATGTTCTATTCACAGCCTTCGGCATGCCGCCGGCCACCAGCTCGAGCCCGCATTGGCAGGCAGCCTAATGATGCTTATGAACAGTGTTCCACAGTTCTATTTTCGTTCCAAGGCAGGGACAAGATCACCTCTTCTAGGCTGAAGCAGCTATATAATCCGGCACGTCTCTTTGATTCAACTCGCTTTTTCCTGTTCTCGCCATGGCCTAGTCTGAAGCAACCGGGGCAGGGCAGGCTGTCGAAACATCCGCGCGGAGAAACAAACCGTAGATTGAAACCAGCCGTAGATTGAAACCAATGGAAATCAACACAAGCCAGACGAAGCAAGACAATCCACAAAACATGACCTTGAAAACGATTCTTCTTCCAAACTACTTGGCCTTTTGCATGTTTTCCTTGTCAGATCTTTTTTTCGACCGTATTGAGGAATTGCGAGTCGCAAAAGATATTCTTTTTCACATACAGAAGGCTTCAAAGCGACCGAAGAATTTCTTGATCTGGCATGATTTGTCGTTGTTTCTCCAAACCGTTCGAAATGAAAGACCCAGAATGACATCGAACAACAATACCCTGCTCAATCATACTTGTTGGTGCATTGGAGTTGCACATTTGGCTGGGTGAGTTTGTTGATGTTGATTTCAAGCGAAGTCGTTTTACAATGAAATGGAACGAATCCGAATCAGGTTGTCTATTCTGATCCAGCGATCGACATGTCTCAGTCCAATGGTTGTCTATTCTGAGCCAGCGATCGACGTGTCTCAGTCGAGGGGGGGGGGGGCGTCAGGCTGTCGAAAAATCCGCGCAGAGATACAAACCGTAGGTTGAAACCAACACAAGCAATACTAACCAAAACAATCCACAAAACACGCCGGCAGGCCGGCGGATTTAATTCGTTTCCTCTGGTGCAAACGGAACCGACTCTTTGGTGAAGAACCGGATGGTGAGGGTTGTTTGCACGTCATCGGCCGTCGCCCAAGTCCGAGGTATCCAAATACCGCCTACGAGTTTGGTGTGGCGGCCACAAACCCTGCAGCCCCCATCAGCCCAAACTACTGGGGCTTGGTGCCTTGACCAATGACGAGCCGAAAATCGTCAGATCAAAGTCACAAAGTTCATTTCTTCAGAGGTTTGACTCTTCCAATATGTTTTGTGTGGTATCTCGCGCGAAGGTGCTGTTGAAGCCCGGAAGCGAGGTGGTGGATTCCACCCGGACTTTGCCAGGGTATGTGCCTGGTCATTTAAGAAATCAAGACAGGATGCTCTTAGACAAAGGGCCGTTTCAGAAGAGGAAAAGTCATTTGCGAAGGATCGTGTTATGGCGATCAATCCAGTGATGGGTGAATAACAATTGAAAGCCAAGCTTTCACATGTTGCATAGCCTTGTTTGAAGTTGTTTGTTGCATACATCAAGAAGCTACTAGTAACAAACGGCATCGCTACTAGGAGCAAGGACGGTACTAGGGGCTCCTGGCCTTACTACTAGGAGCAAGAAGCTACTAGGAGCAAAGGGCATCGCTACTAGGGGCTCCTGGCATCACTACCTGGAAATGTGACCGACCAAGGAACTGACAGATTACCACCTGTTGGTGCAGGTGACCCTGGGCGGTCAGCGGGGCCGCCTCGGACCACTTCCTGGCCACCCGAAAGACCAAGGTATACCAACCTACTAGCAATGACCTCCAACCTACTAGCAATGACCTCCAACCTACTA